CCACACCCCCTGCTTTTTCGCACACGCTCTCTCACGCTCTCTCTCTCAAATAAATAAATTAAATCCTTAAAAAAAGGAAGAAAGAAAAGTGCCATTGTTTTTGCCTTTAACAAATCTTTTCAAGGCCTGGCTTAATACAGACAGCTGAATTCTCCTATTTACTTTTTTTCAAAGATCTTATTTATTCATTTGATAGAGAGAAACTGAGAAGCGATACAGACAGAGTAGGAGTGGGGGGAGGGGGTGCCGGGAGAGCTGAGGGAAAGGGAGAAGCAGACTCCCAGCTGAGCAGGGAGCCCTACACGGGGCCAGGTTACAGCACTCTGGGATCTGGGATGGTCATGACCTGAGCTGAAGGCAGATGCTTAACTGAGCCACCCAGGAACCCCCTCATATTTACTTCTACATTCAATCTATTGTAATATGTTGTTTGGTTAAAAAACATGAAGAAAATCTAGCCTCACAGATGCACAGTTGGAAAACTAAATACTCTGGGGCGCCTGGGTGGCTCAGTGGGTTAAACCTCTGCCTTTGACTTGATCTCAGGGTCCTGGGATCAAGCCCCACATCAGGCTCTCTGCTCAGCGGTGAGCCTGCTTCCCCCCTCTCTCTGCCTGCCTCTCTGCCTGCTTGTGATCTCTCTCCGTCAAATAAATAAATAAAATCTTTTTTTTAAAAAAAGAAAGAAAACGAAATACTTTAATAAAGAGTCTTTTCAGGTAACTGAAACTATACTTTGACACTACCCAAAACTTGACAAGAGAGTTTCTTTCTTTAAGATTTTATTTATTTGTTTGACAGAGAGAGAGATCACTAGTGAGCAGAGCAACAGGCAGAGGAAGAGGGGAAACAGGCTCCCCGCTGAGCAGAGAGCCTGATGCAGGGCTTGATCCCAGGATCCTGAGATCATGACCTGAGCCGAAGGCAGAAGCTTAACCCACTGAGCCACCCAGGCGCCCCTACTCTGCTATACTTAAACCCATCGTTCTATGTTGTCTCTGGGTGGATCTTGACATATCTTATTATACAACATCAAAATACCATATTCATTAGCATCACTACCTATTCTCATCAAAGAATTCTTAAAGCAACAGGAAATTGTCAAACTCACACTAGTAGTGTAAGTTTTCCAAAATTTTAGTTTTCACTGGAAAGTTCCACTTCCTCACTAGCAACATAGCTAACAATCTTCCTTGAAGTAATAGATTCTTAGTCTGTTTTCAAGAAAATATCAAATATCCAAGTAGGATTAACTACTGTTTGACAATCTTTCGTTCAGGTAAAAATGGCACCCCACCAAAAAACAAACAAAAACCTGTTAGCTGAACTCAAACCTCAATCCCATACTCTTCTTTAAGGTAACTACTACTCCTATCCCCAATGCAAGTGCTTTATGTGTACTTCCCACTCATCATGCATACAAAGATGCATAGACAAAAATCCAACTTAGTAAGATTTTAAATTTTGCTGCTTCATTTAAGGACAGTAAGTGAAACTGGCTTTTTTTTTTTTTTTGAAGATTTTATTTATTTGACAGATGGAGATCATAACTAGGCCGAGAGGCAGGCAGAGAGAGAGGGGGAAGCAGGCTCCCTGCTAAGCAGAGAGCCCGATGCAGGGCTCGCACGGATCCCAGGAACCTGGGATCATGACCTGAGCTGAAGGCAGAGGCTTTAACGCACTGAGCCACCCAGGCACCCAAAAACTGGCTTTTTTTTAAATGCTTGGTGCCACTGCCTTGACGTGCACTAAGACAAAAGCAGTTTTCCCACCAATGTTACAGCACCAACCACGCAAACAGCAATACAGTGAAAACGACAATCCTACCTTAAAGTTGCTATAAAAATACTTCTAACACCACAAATTCCTAGGGTCTGCGGACCACATTTTGAAAACTGCTACTTTATTATCATTTCTTTATAGGAGGAGAGAGGCAGCAGAAGAGGGAGACAGATTCTTAAGCAGGCTCCTTGCCCAGCAAGGAGTCCAGCACGGGGCCCATCTCCACACTGTGAGATCATGACCTGGGCCAAAATCAATAGTCTGACGCTTAACTGAATGCACCCTCCCAGGCACCCCTGAGAACCACTACTTTTTTTCTTTTTTTAAGATTTTATTTATTTAAAAAAAAAAGATTTTATTTATTTATGACAGAGAGATCGAGAGAAGGAACACAAGCACAGGGGAGCTGGTGAGGGAGAAGCAGGCTCCCTGGGGAGCAGGGAGTCCATATGGGGCTCAATCCCAGGACACTGGGATCATGACCTGAGCCAAAGACACAAGCTTAACCACTGAGCCACCTAGGCGCCCCAAGAACTACTTAAAAACAAACAAACAAGAACTAGAACATGGGCTCTTTTCTGCACACAATTTTATGTCACCAAGTTCAAACTGTTGACTCCACCTGTGCCTGGGGAATTCCCATTCATCTCTCCAAGTCTTGCTAAGTGGCACTTTCCTGTGCTCTCTCCGACATTATCACCTCCGACACGACTCCCCTACTTTAGATCTGCTCCTTCAACTCTTTACCATCTTTATGACGATCCCTCCTACATACTCAACTGCAGCACACCCAAGGCCATTTTGCCCTCCACTCTAGGCCCCAGACTACAGATTATTTAATCACAGTAACCACTTCTTGGCCCTTCTCAGAATTCAGAACACCTCTGACTTTCTTCTTCCTTACAAAACAGAAGGGGGGAAAAAGCACCACATGGTCTCCCCACTGAAGAAATACACTGACTACAGACTGGAGACTTCCATGACCTCGTTTTTCAAAATAACACTGAATGAATAAATGCTATTACAGTAAGTCACCTCAAAGCCCCCCCCCCACCAGAAGGTTTTGTGATGTCCTTTAGATTTAAAAAAAAAAAAAAAAAAAATCATTTCTCTTAATTAGTTTGTTGGAAACTATGTCAGATTTCGCTCAATGAAAAAATCTTAAAAATATTTAACTCAAGGGCATCCCAGAAAGCGAATGACTAGCTGAATCAAACCTAATCAATTAACCTAACCCTCACTGCCCCAAAGAACTCTTTCTGATTTTAGGGGAGAAATTTAACCATATTCTGCCGCCAGGGAACAGGTCTGGTCTGACAAACCCTCCAGTCTAGTCAATTCTAAAACAACACTTTCTTTGAATCCACCTGTTTCAGGAGTAACTTACAAACAATGAAACTCACGCATCTTAAAGTACATGCATAAATATTACTTCCTCCTACTCAAACTTGTGGACATTTCAAAAATCGAGCCAGAGCGGGGAAAAAAAAAATCTCTGGCCAACATCGAATGGGTTGACCGACCCGAAACGGCCGAGTATAAGCGACTTCATGGGGTTCGCCCTATAAAATAGTAATAAAGGCAATGCAATGAGGGCGGAGGGCCACAGAATGAGGCAGGGGGACAAAACTGAGGAAAAGAAGTCTTACCGGTCATTCCAATCGTCCCCTCGACGTCTTTCATCTCTTTCCCGGGAACGGTCATAGTCGCTGCGTTCTCTTCTGAACTTGTCCCTGCGCCTTCGGTCATACTCGTCATCGCTGTCACCCATGGCGCGGTCTGAGGGGGCCTGGAGCCCAGACAGAGGTGGTCAGGGTGCAGAACAATGACGAGAAGAGGAAAGGCTCCAGAGCCGCTCCGGAGCTGCACGCTCGCCTCCCTCCACAAAAGCCGGCCTTCCGCTGTCTCCTCCATCCTACGCCCTCTCCCCGCGCAGGTGGACGGCTCCGACACTCTACGGCCCCCCCCCCCCGGGGGGGGGGGTCTCCCTGCCCACGCCCGGCGGCCGCCCGAACCCGTTCCCGCCCGCGGCAGCCCCAGCTCTCCAGGCCCCGCCCCTCCCCCACCTGGGAGCGGTCGCGGCCGTTAGCCTCGCGTTCCCGCGGGCGAGTTTTCCGGGAGACCTGGGCCCGCCTCCTGCTTCGGGCGCGCGACGAGGATGGCGCGGGCGATGAGAGGGAGACGCGGGGCTCTTAACGAGGGGGCCAAGGAGACGAAGAGAAAGTGGGACAGCCGGGAATGGGCGGTCGGCGCGCGCCGCTCCCGCAGCGCCTGCGTCACCGACGGAACGGAGCCCCAGCCACAAACTACACCCCCGCGGCCTGAACTGGAACTTAAAACACAGAGCGAGAGGCTGGGAGCGCCCGGGGATGATGGGAAGGGGCGGGGATCCGGAAGTCTCGCGCGCTTTCCGGAGCGAGAACTGCGCGGACGGCAGGAATTACGGGAGCCGAGGTGGTCCAAGCGAGGCCTCGGGAGGGCTGTTGGGATTTCTGGGCTTGGAGGAGACTTTCTTCTGGCCGCAGTCTAAGGTTGCCCTACCTCGGATGTGTCCGGGGCCTGAACCAGTTCGTGTCCAGTTGTTGACCCCCCCCACTCTGCTCGGGGAGCCTCCTGCCCTCAAGCGGGGATGTTTCCCCTTCTTCTGGCGCAAGGCGCGGAGTTGGGGAGTGCAGGCCTTTAGCAGGATGGAGCAACCATTTTAAAGCATCTCCCACCATTTTGTGCTGCGCCAGAGAGCCCGGCTTTATTGCCGGCTCGGTATTTACCACCTACAAACCCCTATTACTGCTCTTCTGCCACAGGGGCGCCCCAACTTGTAGGCAAAGCCGGCAGACCTGTCTTCTCCCGAACCAGTACTTGGTCGGCCTGGTTATAGGTTGAGGTCTTGATCGACAGACGCAGTCTAAATGCACCACCAACCCCGCAGATAACGCCAAGTCCCTGTCCGGGGAGCGGAGTGTAAAGGCTTAATAGGGCATGCTGCAGCCTCACTCCAAGTACGAAGACGTGGGGTGTCTTTACATCAAGTAACTACGTCTGCAAGAGTGCCTAGTGGCATTGCAAAACTAGGTCTAAGAAGACCCAGCCAGGTTCTGATCTTGGCCATCAGGGAACGTGCAATCTGAGATGGCTTCTCCTACAAAAATACAGACACTCGCGGCAGGTGTGCTTGCAATAGGCTGCTGTGAGAATCAGATGAGACAAGGTGATTTTGGAAACTTGAGGAATTATTATTTCACGACCAGAGGAAGAGACAGCATTTGGTGACAAAGTTGTAAAGGCAGATGTCAGGGAGGGTGGCTGAGGGGAAGGGGGAATGTTATAATGTTTCTGGAAAGACTCAGCAGTCAGTGGTGACGGTGGCCGAGAGCTCCTGGATGCGCCAGGCACTACACGCCTTGCACAAGATGTGCCCGTCCAACGGGTAGCAGCCCTGACACTCGCCCTCGGAGGACAGCAGCAGCCCACACTCCTGTTAAGACAGAAGGAACAGCTTTCTACCAGGCCCGGAGCCCTGGGTTCCACACACCCAGCACTCAGGACCCCCAAGAACTTCCCCTTCCCCTTGCCCAGGCCCCCTGACCTCGCACTTGTAACAGCCGATGTGAAAACTGCGATCCAGAGCAACGATTCGTACGGTCTCCTCCTGACCTGGCTCGGGCATGATGGCCCCACCACACACCGAGCATCGTGGGGCAAACTTCCTGCGGGGAGGGGGGAAGGGAACCAAGAAGGTTGTTAAATCCCTGAGTTGGAGGGGACTAACCATGGAACCCAGAGAGGGTCGGATACTCGAGGGAATGGAAGAGGCCCGAGGTATGGTATTGGATCTTAGAAGAGAGAGAGAGACGGGTAACAAGAAACAAAGCCAGGGGTGGGAAACTGGAGAGGCTGGTACTGGGGCATGAAGGAGAAATGAGGAAGATGGGGAGGGTCAACCATCCTGAGACAAAGATGGGAGATGCGGCCTGACCTGTGGAAGTCCTCGATGCAATGGATCTGGCTCGTGGCGTCCACTGTGAAAGGGATGCCATCAAGGCCACGGTGGCACACCACACAGGTGAAGCAGCTGGGATGGTAGGCCTTCCCCATAGCCCGCAGGATCCGGTCCAAGATGGGTTGGGAGCACGTGGAGCACTTCTCCAGGGTGGCCTATTAGGAAGAAGGGTGGGAAGTTCAGGGCTGAGGCGGCTCAGGCCAGGCAGGCACCTTGCCGGCCCACCCATCTGTTTTCGTAGCTCCCTGCAAGGGATTCAGGGAAAAGCGGCCTTGAACAGATCTGAGTGTAAGTCCCAGCACCGCGACTTCCTGGAGAAGTGATTTTTGTCTTTGAGCTTCGGTTTCCTTCCATAGGAATGGCTGTTCTGTGGGGCTAGGGGGTAGTGGTGTGGGAATTTTACATACATCCCCTTAACTCTAAAATAAACGTCTCACGTTTGTAAAGGACTCTTGTCCTTTCCCTCCAGCAGCCAGATTTTGCTACTTTTCTCCCTTCTTTCCTATCAGTTTCATCCCCTGGCTTTGAGCTCCGTTCCTCTTGGGGGCTTGGACATCTAGTCCCCCACCTTAGATGGAAGCCCCCCGCCTCCTGCTGCTGCTGACTCCAGCCCCCAGCACACCCACTCACCACGTAGCAGCTCTCACAGTATGCCCTCCTCTCCACGGCGTAGAAATGCTGGCCCCGAAGCTGGGCCCGGCACGTGGAGCACACGAAGCAGCCAACGTGAAAGACGCGGTCCAGGGCCACAACGCCAGCCCCGTCCCCAACCACGTCTTCTCCACAGCCGCCACAGCGCCCTGGGGACAAGGAGGGACAGGGTCCATCAGCGTAGATCAGGAAGGTGGACTGGCGGTCCTTCTGACTCTCCAGTCCCCTGTCCCCCGCTCTTCCCACCTACGGTCCACCCGCTCACCGAAGTACTCCCCAGTGGGAGGGTGGTTCATGTCGTGCACCAGCTTCTTGGTCAGCCTCTCGAGCTCCTCCTCAGGAGGCTGGCTCAGGGGGACCTGTGAGGGCGGAACCAGGGATTCAGCCCTCCCTCGAGCTCCCTATGCTGTCAGCCTCGCTGAGGGGACCAGGCAGTTCCACCCGAAAGCTCATCTGAAGAGGTCTCAGCCCAGGGTCCGGGGGCGCACCCCTAGGAGCCAAGGTACAGCTCCCGCTCCTCCCTCTTGTATCTCCTGACCAGCACCACACCCCTGGGGGATCCAGAGCACCAACACCCCGGGCCTCCGACAACCAGGACACGAAACACCACCCCCGCTGCACCCAATCAGTGTCTGTGAGGACGCCCAAATCCCAGTACCCGGGGCTTACCTGGTGCCCGTACCCGCCTCCTCTTCCTCCTCCTGCAGCCTCCTCTTTAACCCCCGGCCCTGGCTCCCGGTGGCTCCTATAGCCAGCCCCCCAGACTTCACCTCGGCCTGGGAGAGGAAAGTGGGGGCCTGGGAGAGCCCCGGAGGCCTGAGAGGTCCCCCGCCTGGGAGGGCCACAGCCTCTCACTGGTTGTGCCACCTTCACTTGCACAGGGAAGGCAGGGCCAGCGGGGGTGCTGGCTGTGGCATAGGAGGCCGGAGTGGGGCCCCCGTAGGGGGACGCTGAGAGCTCTTGGGGAGGAATAGGAACACTCCCTCCATTCGGCTTCAGGGAGCCCGAGCCCGTGCGGTAGGCATGGGGCTGAGGAGGCTCATAAGCCTGGGGAAAAACACAGACCAGGAGTGAGCAGGCCCGTTCCAAGACACACATCTGCAGGAAACCCCCCCGTGTGGGTGTGACCCCAAGGTAAGCGCTGGGCTTTGACAAGGGCCCACGTTCAAGAGGCTGATGAGCAAGAAGCCTTGGTGGCCCAGCTTCTTCCATGCTCCCATATGCATCACTCACACTTGGAGGGGGAGGAGGTTGAGGGGGGCTGGGCTGAGAATCTAGAGAAGGGACCAGGCTGGGGAATGGGGAGGAGGGCAGGAGACAAGGAGCAGGGGTGGGACGGGGGGGGGGGGCACCTGCCGGTCTGGCCGTCGTGGAGCATGACCACGACCTCCATCCAGCTCAGCCAGCATGCTGGTCAGCGAATCTATCTCGGCATCCAGACTCCCTGGACGCAAGGCCCCCCTATCCGGGGGGAGCCCCTGGGGATGAAGCAAAAGCAGGGAAAATTCAAATCCCTTGCCCCGGGTGCCCCCACCTCCCACCCCCCCAATTCCAGTTCTCACCTGTGAGCGCTGGGGTGCTCCATGGCACCCCACCCAGGCGAGCCCCCGATCATCCGGTCCCCCGGGGGCCTGGTAACACTGCTCAGATGGGAGGGGGCAAAAATTGACCCTGGGGTGGGGCTGAAGTGCTGGGGTGAGGGAAGAGAGAGCCAAGGTGGGGACAGGGAAGGAGAGGAGGGTGACACGTGTGGAGGCTGCCCTCTTGGGTCCCTCTTCCTCCCTCCCCCACACACCTGGGGTCCGAGAACACAGCAGGAGGAGCAGGAAGCTGGAAGGGCTTCAGGGAAGGGGCGGCAGGGACAGGCGGGAGGCGGGAGGCAGGAGGCAGGAGCCAGAAGGCAGAGGTGAGCACGGAATGGCCAGTGGCCTCCTCGGGGGCACCAGGGCTGCCTTACCTGCTCCATGGGCTGGCGGCGGCCCCGGGGCGCCTCGGGGGGGTGCTCTCCCCTGAGGGGATCTTGCAGACTCCAGCTGCCTTGGGGGGAGCCAGGTGGGCCCCGACATGGCCTGGAACAGGGGACTCCAGATAGCAGTCAGGCCTCGTGTAGTCCCGAGCCTCTGGTCTTGACCGCTTCTTCCGTCCCACACCTCGTTTGGAACTCCAGGAAAGAAACTTTTTCTGGCTTTTTTCTTTTCCCCTTCCTCCCCAATTTTGGGGACAGCCACGCCCCCGGTGACGTCACCGCATTCCTGGGGGAGGGTCACGTGGCCCCTAGGCCCTAAACCGCTGTCCCTCCCCCAGTCAGCCCCCTCCTGCCGAGCAGGGAGGGCCTTCCACAGCCGCCTCCGTTTCCACCCGTCCCCCCCAGACTGGCGCCCCAAGTCCTGCACAAGGCCACCTCGCCGCTGGGACGTTCCAGTGTGGCTCTTTCCCACACTCCCCCATATAGATCTCTCCCTCTTCCCGCCCCACCTTCACCCCCCCACCCACAGCAGTGCTCCGCCAGCCCGTAGTGTTTTGGTCTTTTATTCACGATCAGCGGTTAGAAAAATAAAACAGAACAAAAACATCACAACCTCAAGGGGTCTGCGAGTCTGTTGGGCTAGGGGAGACTGAGGTAGCCAAGAGTCAAAGCAGAGACCCAGCCTCCATCAAGGCACCAGTGAAGGGAGGAAGGCCAGTGGGGAGGGCTGCTGGCTTCCTCCCCCAGCGTGGTGGGGACCGGACAGCTGCCTGCATTAGTGCACGAGAGCCCCTCTCCCAGGGGCAGACGGATGCCCAGCCCAGGATCCCCTAGTCCTTCCACCAGGCTCCACGCCCTGCGTGTGGAATGGGTGGGAGGCTGCCCTTCCCTTCCATATCCACGAATCAAAGTGGGTCCCTAGAGCCGGGCACCCTCTGCTTCAGGCCCCGGGCATCAGAGATCAGTGCAAGTGACGGGGGTGACGCCATGAATGAGCAGCGTGGGGCCCAGATCCCGGGTCAGAGTCTCCAGCAGCGCCAGGTAGCGAGGGTAGCGGGCAGGATCTGCCGGCGGCCGAGGCAGGTACAGGAAAGTGAGGGCCGTGGCAGGCCCGCCCTCGCCATCCCCACCCTCAGGGCCCCCGGGCCCTCCTCCCTGGCTGCGCCCCTGCTGTGCCCGAACCAGGGCGTTGGCACTGCACGCCAGGGCCTCTGCCTCAGCGTCCCCCCGCCTGCCGTTCACGAAATCCCCCTCCTCCTCCTCCTCAGGCTCCCCAGACCCAGCCCCCTCGCCCCACACCACCTCCTGCACTTCAGCCCTGATCCTCAGCTGGCTCAGCAGTGCCCGGAGCCGCCCCTCCGCCGCCCCAGGGGCCTCTCGGGGCCCCAGGCACAAGAAGATCCGGAGCCGGGCGCTATGCCAAGCAGGCACCATGCCCAAGATGGTCGCCATCTGCAGCAAGAAAAGGCCACACACGTCCACGTAGCCAGGCCCCCCCCGGGGCCGCAGCAGGTTGAGGGGCCACACGTCCACGTGATGCGGCTGAGAAGTGCCCCCCGACCCTCGGCTCAGCCGCTCGGGGGGGCAGAGCCCCGCAGGCCCGGGCCAGGACCACATTCTTGTTCATCTTGAGGGCGTCTGCCACCGTGGCCACGTAGTCCTGGGGACTCAGAGCCCGGGGGCTCCCGGGAGCCCGGGGTGGAGGAAACAGGGTGCTCAGGGCTGGGGACCCTCCCTCCAGGGTGCCATCAGCGGCCTCAGAGAAAGCCGGGTCGGTCAGGAAGTGGTCCTGGGGTGCAGCATCATCGTAGAAACCCAGGACCAACGTGTTGGGCTTCATGCCACCTGGGGGGAGAGAGGGGAAGGTTGGGAGGGAACCGACAGGAGTCACACTCGCGGCTGAGTTCATCCCACGCTAACACGCACCCGTCAGCGACACACGTCAGCCATCAGGTATGGCGTTCGCTCCGTGCTCAGGCTCTCCCCACGACATTATGCACATTTGCATAATGACTTTTCGTTTTCCCAAATGCTTTTGCATGCGTTTATTTGTTGCATCTGCATGACTCATCTCCCCCCACGTAAATCCAAGGCGAAGTTCGCCTCAGGAGCGATTCTTCTGAACTAATGAGCACTTCCGGTCCACGGCAGTGTGGATGCCTCCGCTCCAAGCTCGTGATGGGAGAGGAGGGTCCGACTTCATGGGGCCGACCAGACCCCCTGAGTAGGCAACAGGCAAGCTCGTGGCCTCAGTCCCCAGGGAGACAGCACCCCAGCCTCTGCTGGGGGAGGAAGGGAACTGGCCTGATCTACCGACCACTCATGATGGTGAGGCCCCACCTGCTCCCCGGGGAAGAAACGGGTACCCTCTGCACACTAACCCAGGGCTAGTCCTGCTCAAAACACTTTGTGTTTTAACTCCTCTCATGCTTGAAGCAACACTATGAGGTAGGGACTCCTTACTCACCCCTTTCACAGATAAGCAACCTGAGACACAGAGAAGTGAAGTCACTTGCCCCAAGGCTCACAGTCAGGAGATCCTGGGGTCCGCAGGTGATCACAAGGTACCCAGCACCAGAGCCTAATCTCTGAGCCTCTGACCTGTGTGTGTGTGTGTGTGTGTGTGTCTGTGTCCTGGTTTTTAAATTTTTGAAGAACCATGGAGAAACTGGATACCCTCCGCCCCCCCCCCGCCCACTTTAACGAGGCTAAATTTACAGAAAGACTCTCAGATCTTGTCTAAGGCTTATTTCTCGTGAACCAGGTTGCTCAAAAATCCACCCATAAATCCAGGTCTGCACTCCAGGAGGAGTTTTTCCTATTAAGAGGAAATCCTTTCCCTTCATTTGAATCGTTTTCCTTAGGATCCATGTGGTAGAAAGCCGTGATCTCCCGGCACGGTTTCCCCCCACAAAGGGTGGGGCTGAGGGGACACCAGGTTCTCTAATAATGCTTGACGACAGCCCAGAAACACCTGTGCCAGCATGAACTCCAGCCGATCTTGCAAATGGAACCAGTCACCCCTTCCTGAGCATTGCCCAGAGTTCTGATTTACCCTGAACAGGATATTGTCCAACACTTGAACCTTAGCCGGAGCTCAATGGAGAAGGGAGTACGCACTCAGGGAAGGGACTGACACCCGCCTGGCATTGAGAAAGGAGGTGGCAGCTCAGCCCGGGTTTGCAAGGAGCCGGGGTGCAAGGCTGGAGGCCTCGGCACCAAGGCAGGGTAGCAAAGGGAGGGATTCTTCCACTCGCTCAGAAAGCATCAGCCCCACATACCCTCTGCATCCTCTGCAGTCTCTGGAGGCCAATGTCACACCACCCCTTCCTCCTCCGCCCCTTCCAAGCCCCAGCTGAGATACCATCTTGTCCCCGGCCACATTAGTGCATAGCGGTCTTGAAATCAGATGGCTAGAAACCATCTGCCCTAGATTTGAGCAGCTCCCCAGCCTCAAATCATTCTCCCATTGTCCCCAGACATACAACATGGTCTTCAGAGCCTGTGCCCTAATGTTGGGGTCAAGGAAAAAAAAAAAAACAAAACCACGGTCAGTGGCACCCATCTTCAGTCCTTAAGCATTTCCTTGGGACTTTCATGTCATCCATTATCTTTAAACTTGAGCACTGTGTCTTATCTGCATTAGACCCTGAGTTCTTTTCAGAGTTTGCAGTTTGTGGTTTACTCTCTGGCGGACAGTAGCAGAGATTGAGAGAGGCCACAGAGGGGGTGTCGAGGGGACCCAGGGAGGAGTAGCTCACCAAGGCCAGAGATCCGAAGCAGATGCTGAGCCCCCTGGCGCACGGAGGGCGAGAGGGTGAGGTCCACAAAGGCCTTCACTTGGGCTCTGTCCACCAGGCTCAGCCATGCCCCGTACTGGGGCTGCACTGGGTCAGAGGGAAGGCAGTCTGCAGAGAAGGGAGGAGGCAGATGTGGGCCAAACCCACGTACTTTTCTCCAGGAATCCAAATACCAAATGGGCCAAAGAGAAAGGTCTTGGCAGGGTTCTGGCTGGTTGGAAGCATCATCAGAGAAGAAGCATGAGGCCTCTGGACCCAAAAAACACAAATCAGCAAGAGGGAGAAGGAAGCTGGGAAGGGAACAAGGGGGGGCAACTCACCAAGGTCTCCCAGGGTAACGTGGCCCAGGACATACAGGCCCCCCTTCTTGAGCTGGTTGGCCAGCCGCAGCAGAGGCAGGGCGCCCCGGGGGTTCCCCACCAGGAGCAGCAGCTGGGGCCTCCAGAACTTCACGTGATCCTTCCGGACGTCCAGCCGGAGCAGGTACTTCCGCACCTGGGGTCAGGGGTAAGGTGCGGAGAGGAAGGGCTCAAAGGGGCAGCCCCCACTTACCACCTCTCGGACAAGAACCCTGACTCCAGCCACAGCAAAAGGAGGCCTACTTGGTGGGGGGGCATTTCCCACACCGCCTCCTCCCCTCCCCACCCTCCCCCGAGCCCCCACCAACCTGGTGGAAAAGCAAGGCCTGGCTGACGTAGCCCCAGCTGCTGGGGCCTCCCCGAGCTGTGAGCAGGGCAGAAAGCAGCCCCATGAGAAGCAGGGAGCCACCGGCGGCCCCAGGGCTGATGAGGAACATCATGAGCAGGCAGGAGGCCACGCCCAGCAAGCAGGTGTGCCAGGAGAACAGGCTGAAGGTGGGGCTGGGGTGGGGGAGAGAGAGAAGGGCGCTCGGGGCCTGCCGCTGCACTCCATCTCCAGCCTCGGCCCCCCCAGATTGAGTCCTCCCACTCCTCCCTCTTCATCTCCGGGCACCCGGGAATCGTCTCCTCTCACCGGAAGTTGGGGGCCGAGGCCCACTCCAGGCTCAGGCAGGACAGGTCCACCGCAGCGTAGGCCACCAAGTAGAAGACAGTGACCACAGCAGCCAGTGTATTCAGCTTCCCAGCCAAGAGCACCAGCTAGACAAGGACCCAGAGGCTGGGCGGTCGTGCATGACCGCCCCCCCCGTGCCCTCCACCCCACCGGGCTAAAGGCCAACTCGTCCTGCCTCTGTCGTTCCCTCACCCAGCCCAAGCCCAAGCCCCTCCTGGTCCTGGAAGCAGAACCAGGAGGGGCTTAGGGGAAGGGGAGAGACAGCTTGAAAGGAAGGCTTACCTGCACTAGGCCCCAAGAATAGAGCACGGCCCCCCAGGGGTTCCCCGTTCGGGACACGACCTTGGCTGGAGCCAAGATCACTCCTGCGCAACCAGAAATGCAACAGACACATCAGCCTGGGCCAAGTGGCAACTGAGAAAGACTGTTGTGGGGTTGCAGGGTTGGGGCAGGGAGTGGATACACAGAACCAGGCAAGGAGCAGGGGACGGCGCACCAAAGAGGTCATCCTGAGCCAGAGCGTGGAGGATGCGGGAGGCCCCGATGAGCGAGCTCATGGAGGCTGAGAGCGACGTGGCGTAGATACCGACCAGCACCAGTGGGGGCCACAGGCTGATGGCACGAAAGAACCCGTAGTCCTCCTGCAGCAGGGTCCTGGGTGGGGGAAGGAAAGGA